CGCATTCTGTGATACATTCAGAGAATCTTTTGAATAGAATTAATTTCTCGTGAACCAGTAACCGACAATCTCTCCTCCCTTGTGTACCCATGGTGTAGTGGTTATCCTTTTCTGCCTAACACGCGGTAGGTCCCACGTTCGAAACATAGTGGGTACATTAGTATTTCCAGATAATTTGTTGGGCTTTTGATAAAAACATTTTCTCTTCCGATGTTAATCTCGATCAGTAAGATGAGGCATCTGTACGATTTTCAGTGTTGGATCACTAAAGCTTGGAATTTTTTAAAATTTATCTTGCATTCTATGTGACATTCAGAGAATCTTTTGAAGAAAATCAATTTCTCGTGAACCAGTAACCGACAATCTCTCCTCCTTTTTGTACCCATGGTGTAGTGGTTATCCTTTTCCACCTAACACGCGGAAGGTCCCAGGTTCGAAACCTGATGTGTCAAGGACGGATCTACATATGGGCTAAATGGGCTGTAGCCTAGGGCCCCCTGTTTTTTTGGGGCCCCTTTCTCAGGTGAATATAACAAACAGAAAAAGATGTAATAAAAATTATATATATTTCAAAATAGTAATAAAATAATAAACCCAGTAAGAGAGTAAAAATCAAAAATAAACTACCGGAAATATATCAAATTTATTTTCATTTTCAAGAGCAATTTACCCTTTTGTTCGTCCACGTCTGACCACCGAATACGCGGAAATTAATAATTAATAGACTGAGGCTCTTTCATAGAGCGGCGCCTGCGAGTATTAACCATTAATACAAATGTAGTGGCACTATTTCTGTAGCCATTTATTTTTGTGCAATAATAATTCTAATTTACAATAATATATTGATTTGGTGCTGTGTCTTGTGCATACTACATGCAATTAAAACATACTTATGTACCTGTTTATTCAAGTTTCAAGTAAAAAGTAAGTGTGCCGATAGACATTTCTAAATTATTTAAGTAGGAAGATATTGAAGTAGTGTTTAAGTATTTTCTGTGTGTATTTTCAATTTTTCAGAAAACATCAGAATTTCCCATAAACATGTATGTTGTCTTAAAATTTTTGTTAAGTAACTTAATTACTTCTATAGGATATAAAAAAATAACAATCAGTTTATGTGGATTATGGAGATTCACCGCGAATATTATGGATAAATGTAAAATTGTCTTGATTTTCGTATTAAGTCGGTTTTTTTAAGTATAGGTAGCAACAGCAAATAATGGATGACAGCGGAAAAACAATATTTATTTAAAGTGGGGTAAATAATTCTAAAGTTTATTTTTATAAAATCCCCTTTAAACTGATGGGCTAATAAATAATAATAATCAGCGTTTTAGGTTTTAGCGAGTATAGACAAGGATTTTTTATTTTTTTAAAATTAACTATAGGTACCTTTTTTCAATTATCTCAGAAATATACTATATTGTTTTGTAAAAATTTGTTAGAATATTTTTAGTTTATTAAGCATATCGGCTGTGTTATCGGAATTTTATGACCTAAACTTTTAAATTGATTTTAAGGAAAATCCAGTA